CCCTGACCTGTAGCCACATAGGGCACCTGCGCAAAGAAACAAAGACACCAACCAGGATAACTTGGAGCAAAACAGCATCCTGTAGGCTTGGCCTTTATTGAACTGTTGCAACAGGGTGTTCCCCTCACTTGCAAGAGAGAGGAAAGACCCAGAAAGATGGTGTGCAAGACCTTATAAAAACTTTTGAAATTCCCATCCTCTAGGTCAAGCCCACCCCCAGAAATATCATGCATACATTACAGAAAGGAGGGGTTGAGGGAGGAGTTGTGGTGGTAACCTGAGTGTCCTGTCACCTGGCTGGTTCCTCCTTTCCCCCTCCCCATGAGTCACTTCCAGGAGACAAAGGGGAGTTGGCAGTTTCCTGCCCCTAGAGGGAAGATCTGATCATTGTCCTTTGTTTCAGTCCATGCTGAATCCACTCCCATATGCAAGTTCTTTGTGATCTTGATGGTCTTCTGTCTAGGACCATCAGGGTTGGCATAGCAACTGGGCAGGGCTCCTGTGGATGTGCTGGGATGGTGAAGGGATTATGGCTGGCCTGTATCAAACCTTCCCCATTTTGTAGTCCTTCCTTCATGGAGTCAAATAAAAGTGGAACAGTGCAAATCCGATGTATGGTTGATTTTTCTATGAATTTATAACAGAAGCGTGGTGTATGTAGTGTGTGTGTGTGTGTGTGAAGTTTGTACAAACTGAATGATTGGGGTGGGGGGTTCCTGCTACACTAGCAAACCAGAGTTTAAACTAACCCCTTTGCAACCCTGGCAGGAGCACGGGGAGCTTTTGCGCAACACACCTACACACTACAGCCAACACATTAACATGTCGCAACACACAGTTTGGAAAGTGCTGATGGTTTGGCTGGAGCCTGACAGTGACAGACAAGCTCAGTCTCTGTCCAAGTTCTCTCAGATGCTGCTGAAGCTCCTATGTGGTAAGAGACAGATTATCACTGGAAGAAGGGAACGTGAACTGGAAATGCCACTGAGGATGGTCCAGGAAGTACAGCAATCTAGCCTACAACCTGGCGGCCACATCCACACTCAACCTAATTTTATGCTGCCCCCAAGACCTTCTGAAACTGCCCTGTTCTTGCATCCTATCACAGTTCCTTCCTTCCTGTAAATTTTCTCCTTACTCCTTGGCTTATTTTCTTTTTAAAATCTTCTTTTTTTACCTCTTCCTATGTAATTTTAGAATGATTGGCAGTATTTATTTGATAAAAATAAATCAGCATGTTGCGTTTTCTTTCTTTCTTTTTACCTCTTTCTGGGTTGCATGACAAGAAAAAGAAATTTCTCCCCAGCTGTCTGAGAACAAATTGGTAGGCTTCCGACATATATATGTGTGGGTGTGTACAGCTCAGCGAAGCCATAAGGGAATTACCTTCACTTGTTTTCTAGCACTGGAGCAATTTTGCTCTGTTGTATCAAAAAATACAAATATGAAAAAATCCTCTGTATACTCAAGTGTGACCCCATCAAACCCAGTGGGGTTTACTGCCGGGTAGACCTTTGCAGGATTGGGAATTTAATCTGAGAAAGACACAGTGAACACTGAAGCAAGACAATCTTTATTCTGGATTAGTTAATCCAGAACACCTTGGTCTGCTGCCACAGCAACAGTTCCCTGCAGAAAAACGACAGCACAGGCTTATATGAATGAGCACATGTGAAACTGACACAGATGGATCCGTCCATCTCTTGGCTCCATCTTCATCGCATGCAGAGACAATATGCTTGTGCCTTTGATTGCACAGGAGCTTTGAGACAGGATGGCACAGGTTTTCTGCAGTGCCCATGTGACGCCATTGGCTTCAATGTGACAGCCCGTAGTTTCCCCCTCATATAAGCCAGATTTATCCTTTCTACAGAAAATTAAGAACACCTGCTGGCAACACTGAGCCCCACCTGGAAGCACACTATGGGCAGGATGGACTGCAACCAAAGTGCTTTATTTCACTCTACATGCGTGTTTCATACATGTGCCTTGCCCATGTGCTCATTTGTATGGGAATATGTGCAGCACAAACTCGTGAATATTCTAGCAGAGCTGCAAAAGTAGGTTACCTGTAACGCACAGCATCCCTATGATAAATGGCAATTGAGAGCCGCCACCCCCCCCCAAGAGCATAGTGGAGCCTGTGCCAGAATAACAATGAAGCAACTGCTTTGCTCAGCTCCAACCAAGCAGGGTGGTGGCGGGGGCGGGGGGGGAGGGAAACCACTGCACTGAACGAGATTCTGACAGTAATTAGCGCATTGGCTCTGCTAATTGGAGGAGCTGCACGGCACTGTTGGAAGCGGAATTGCAAGGATGTCAGACAAGAGGGGAGTTGCGCGGTTGACAGAGGGAGGGCAGGAGAGATGCAGACCCTGAATCAGGAACATCCGCAGACAGGCACTAATGCCATTTCTACCCACAAAGGCAGCAAAGGAAATGCCAGCCACTTCCCTGGGCAAAACCCCCGTGGAAGGAATCAGGTCCCAGCTGCACTACGCATTTCAAGAGGCACCCTGCCACATTCAGCAGTTGTGGGTTTCCCCAGAGACGCCTGGGAAGTGCAGTTGTTAAAGGTGCTGGGAGGTGTTCGGAGACAGCTTCTCCCTTCACAGAGCTACATTTTCAGAGTGGTTTGTCAATCAATCCTTCTTTGCAGAGAACGATGGGAACTGAACTCGAACTGTGTGCTCCAATAGTGGCTGGCCACTGTCAGAGGCAAAACACCAGGCTAGCCAGTTCTTTGATTTGAACAGTTCTTGTTGCATTAATAGACCAAGCTAAACTGACAGTAGATTAAGTCTGCTTCTGCCATTTTCCTGTCTCAATTGTCTGAAAAGGTTCTTTACAACTCCAGAAACAAGACTATTTGGTATGTGAATCACCATCACACTGACATGGAAACCCACGGACTTGCAATTTCATATGCCCCATGGCCCCTGCAGAACACAGTTGCACAGCAGTGTTGCTGAAGAGGCAAGGTGCTTCTTAAAAGTTGGCTGCCTCTTCTGCATATGGTGAAAACTTTAAAGAGCAAAATAAACTCTTAGCATTTTCCTCTGTTTCCACCAGGGCCTTGGGGGCTACCTAAAAGAGGACCAGGTTTTAAGGGGGGCCACACCACAGCTGGAGAGATTCAGTTCCTCCACTGAAGGAAGAAGGAAAGAAAAACTCCCCATCTTTGCAAACTGAAAGTATGAATCCGCGTTCTTGGTGGAGGCCACTCGGATTCTCACTTCTGCCCAATTCCTCACTGCTTCCAAATTTCACCAAGGCTTAATGTGTTCACCAGGATCCAGGCCTCACTGCTGCCCAGCAAAGCAGAGGGCCATTAGTTATTCATTCTGATGCTGAAATAATATGCTGGCTGGCGACACAGAGGCAAGAGAAGCGGAAGCAAACCTAAGCTGTTTTGAAGCCAATTATCACGGTGGCCGCAGGCCCCCCATTTCCAGCGACTGGGAAAGCAACATTGACCTGGGAAGATCATCTGTGTCCACATCGTTCAAATCACTCACTTGAGCGAGTAAAATGCTCAGCAACTGGCAGGCAGGCAGGCAGGCAGGCGGGGGGACAGGAGGCTTCTTCTGCAAGAGACGAGAGCTACTTCTGCCCCACGGGAGGCTGCGAAAGATGAGGGGTCAGGCCATGTGATCAGTAAGAGGCAGTGTTCCTCAGCGGAGAGATGTTTCAGTCAAGGAAGTTCCAGGCTCATGTCCCCAAGATCCACAGGTGATCTTCCTCCAGCTTCTACTTCCACAATAAGCATGTCGGGATCTGTGCTCACTCTTGAGGAGGGGCGAAGGTCTGAGCAAAGGAAGGGTGGGCATTTCTGGTTCCCAAGGCAAGGCATCTTTGGGGGAAGTCAACATGTGGATTCAGGACCATGGCTAGTGCTCCTGCAACTGAGGCCTTACATTCACGTTGTCTCAGCAAGGTCCTGCAGCCATAGGCTGAGCTTTATATCAAAGCTAGGAAGTCGCTTACTGAAGGACCCGCCCTACTGCCTCCTGATCAGCCACAGGACCAGCATTGACATCTGCAGCCATGGGCTCCTTCGGGATAATGGGGTTCCCAGCTGCGAGGGTCTTTCCAAAGGGCTCTCTTGGTCCCCCAAGGAGTCTGTGTGTCTCTTTGGGGGGTTGGGGGAATGGAGACAGGCTCTGATGTCCGTAGACCGACACGGGGGGAGGGCCAGGTAATGAATCCATCTCCTCTTTGGAGTGGCAGTGACTAGAGGACTCTAACTCCAAGGAGTCCTGCATCAAGGCCATGGCGAAATCTCCAGTACCATACCAATGTATACTGCTCCCCAGAGGTGGATTCAGAAATAGAATCCCCTGAATTTTACAAGAGTGGACTAAGGGACTGGCCTAGTTCTCACTGAGGTGATCAACTTGTGCCTGAGTTACACCATTTCAGACTGCAGGCAGAAGGATAATATGATGGAAGCCACACTGAGAGCCAGTGTGGTGTAGTGGTTAAGAGCGGTAGTCTCGTAATCTGGGGAACCGGGTTCGCATCTCCGCTCCTCCACATGCAGCTGCTGGGTGACCTTGGGCTAGTCACACTTCTTTGAAGTCTCTCAGCCCCACTCACCTCACAGAGTGTTTGTTGTGGGGGAGGAAGGGAAAGGAGAATGTTAGCCGCTTTGAGACTCCTTCGGGTAGTGATAAAGAGGGATATCAAATCCAAACTCTTCTCTTCTTCTTCTTCTCTTTGGGGAGGGTTGGGTGGGAATCCCTGCACAAAGAAAGCTAGCATGTCAAAGAGAAGTCTAGGCAGGATCTCTTCTCCCTGGCATACTCTTTTTAATAAAGAGGAGCATTCAGCTATTCACTGACCTTCAAGCTGAAATGGTACAGACCAGGGACAGGTTTGACCCTCTCAGTGAACACCAGACCTACATCAACAGGCCTCCTGCACCCTCTGGCCTGAAGCCGTGACTTCCTTGAGGCCCACAATATAGTCTTTACCTTCCAGTTGAACAGAGAACTCACCCAAAGAAATATCTTTCTAGCTGATTCTGTGGTTTCAGCCGAACAGTGTCAAGAGTCAAAGCCGTCCTCAGGTAGGGAGGCAACACGAAGATGCATTCGCCGGGATGAACAGCTGGGATTGTGGCCTGGCTGACAAGGAACTGCTCCAGGAGGAACCTGGGAAGAGGAGGAAAACCAGCCTTTTAGAAACAGCTGCAAGAAGGAAATAATTACACTGGCTTTCAAATGGGAAACTGTGAGGCAGGAACATAGGAAGCTGGCTTGTAGTGACTCAAATCCTGGAGGAGAGAGCTATCGGCAGCTACCAGCCATGATGACTCGGCTCCCAAATACCACTTGCTGGAAACCACAAGAGGGGAGAGGGCTGCTCTTGGGCTCAGGTTCTGCTCCCTGGTTTCCCACAGGCACCTGGTTGGCCACTGTCAGAACAGGATGCTGGGCTAGAGGGGCCATGGGCCTGATCCTGCAGGCTCTTCTTAGGCTCTTCTGTCCCTCGAGCACAGCACTCTATGCTGGTAGCAGGTCTCCAGGGTTTCAGGCTTTCCCAGAGACCCCTTCCCAGCTGCGGCTGGAGATGCGGGGATCAAACCTGGGTGTCTGTATGCTCATCAGGTGCTCTGCCACTGAGCTCCAAGGCACAGGGTCACGGATACAGGACGCCTCTCCTCACCAGCACAGAGGCATAGGAAGGGGGTGGCAGTGGGGCAGGCCGCCCCGGGTGTCAACAATTACCGCCCTCCCCTCCAAGAGGTAGGCAGGGTTTGCAACCTGGCGCGGGGCTTCCCAGGTCCCTGACGCCACCCTCCTTGCCTTGGGGTCGTCACCCTGCCCCCAACCCAACTGGCCAATTGGCTGCAGGCTGGGGGCCGGGTGAAGGAAAGGAAAGGGCCGGTGCTGCTCAGCCCAGTCTCATTTTGTTCCCCTCCAGACCGACTTCCCAGTCCACTGCAGCGGCCTGCTGAGGCCGAGGACACTGCCTATCCCGTGCACCCCCTTTGGGCCCTGTTCCCCCTCCGAGAAGCCCCTGCTGCCTCCGAAAGTGGAGCACGCGGGACAATGGCACCAGCCCCATTTTGCCCACACGTGGCACTGGGAGGAGCAGCACAGCGCCGCCCTGGGCGCTTGGCAGGCTGGCCTCCCCTTTGCCCCCCATCTCCCCTCCGTGTAGGTAGCATTTATTGTTCCAAAAATGAAACCTTCATCCGGTTGTAAAAATTAAGATTATACCAGCAAGAATGAGTCTTTCTGTAAAAAAAAAAAAAGCGATTTAAATTGAGTCTTACTGACTAGTGATTTAAATTGTGGTCTAAATTGTGATTTAAATCAAATCCACCCTGCTCACCCGGCGTTGGAAACGTAGCACAAAGGGCTGTGTTGTGCTTTGGCATACCCTGTGATAGTCAATAAACCTGACAAAAAGGAGATTTGTTGGTGGTTTGTCTCGTCCAGCCTCCTAGTGTTCAGCCTATTCTGGAGCAGGTTACACCACCCTGGCCTAAAGGGGTCAGGTTTGTAATCTGAGAGTGCTCTTGGATCTGGCATTGTCACTGGAGGACCAAGTGGCCTCCATGATTAACAGCATTAAAAAAACAAAACAAAAAAACCCAGTTTATGCAAAGAAATCAACTGCAATTCTTATCTGGACAGAGAGAGCCCCCAACCCTTGCCTCTGCCAGAAACCCCACAAGAGTCCATTGATTTAATTTCCTCCCCCTTCAATTGTGTGTTTTCAAGAGACGTGGGAATACGTTTTTTATGAGTAGCAAAGATGTGCCTCTCTAATACAACAGTCTACACTTAATAAAAAGTGTCATCCCCCCCCCCCCAACTTCCTTATCCCTCCTTCTTGGCTTGGGTTCTGCCGGCTTCTTAAAGAGACAGCCAATGGCAACACACAGAGTGCAGTTAGGATGAGTGAAAGTTAGGTTTCAGGGTTTTGCAAAGTGTACACTGGGAAATGTAAGGCTGGGGTGGGTTTTGGAAATGCATGTTTCAGGCAGGTGTGCTCTTCAGATAAGAGCCACAATAGGCTGCAGCATCCCTGCCCTGAGTTTTCTGCTGCACACTACATGCAAGGGGACTTGGTTCCATTTTACAGCCATTGCCAATGAGGCTTGGCTGGAGCTCACTCTAGGAGACTACGGCTAAACAAAAGTATGGTCCAGTAGTGCTTAGAGGGAAGGGCTAGTGTAGGAGACCAGAATTCAAATCCCCATTCAGCCAAGAAATTTACTGGGTGACCTTGGGCAGGCCTCTCACTCTCAGTCTAAGCTGCCTCACAAGGTTGATGTTGTAAGGGTAAAATGCTCAGCCAAGTTATCTTAGGTCCACTGTGAGCCAAGCTCGGCTCTCTGGCTTAGCCATCTTGTCAACTGAAAACCAAGTAGCGAAAGGAACTGATTTTGACGATGCAATTTCAAAATTTGCAGAGAACAAAATTAGGGGGGAAATGGTTTTAAGTGCTTATGCTCACCATGTTAGGTAAATAAACCAGAAAACAACACTTGCAACTGTAAGCATCTTATTTTTCCTTCCTTTAATAATTTCAATGTGGGGGGGACACAAGAAAGTTTCTGCACCAGGTACCACTTGCTACGCCATTGTATCTGCCTTGCCCGGCACATCCTTAAAAGAAGAGCAGGATGGTGGCCATGAATGTTTAAGCAACTCAAAAAGATCAAAGGCTGCAAATTCTAGTTCGGGGTGTGTGGTTCCTTTTGGGTATGGAAACATCAGAAGAGGCTTAATGCAGTCAGGCCATTGGTCCATCAAGCACAGCTTTTCCAACACTGACTGGCAGCAGCTCTCCTGGGTTTCAGACAGGAAACCATTCCCAGCCTTACCTGGAGATGCCAGGAATTCAACCTGCAACCTTCTGCATGCCAAGCAGATGCTCCGCTGCTGAGGAGTTATCATCTGTTTATCTGCCTGCCTGCCTGCCTGCCTGCCTGCCTGCCTGCCTGCCTGCCTGCAAGCCACTCTGGGAGTATAAATGCTTTAAACAAATTGCTCGGGTGTCCCTTGCCCTCGTCTAGATTCTAAGCCAGCAGGCAGAGTTTGTTGGCATGTAGTAACAATGATCCATACGAAAACTGTGACCAGAATGCCCTCCCTGATTGGCTTTTGGCAAGCCTCAGGGCTCCATCGGTAAACGCAGATGCATTGAACTGAGCGTATTTTCCGGCAAGTAAATCCCACTGAAAACAACAGATTTTTTTTCCCAAGCAAGTGTAGCAAGGCTTAAAAGCACTAGGCAAAGGAATGATATGATACAGCTAAAAAGACCAAACAATTTTGCTCGGGTTCGCTTTCCCATTAGCCTAAAGTGCTGACCAGCATTTCTCTGGCTGGAATTCTGGAGAAAGTGAGGAAGATTAACAGCAAACCACTGGATTGATTTCTCCTTTAATCTCTGGCCCCAGCAGGGCTCCTGAACTGAAGAGTTTTGAAGCAACACTCACAAGAGAAGTAGGACAATGACTGCATGCAGAAAACAACTCCACTGACAGGTTGCGATTGCAGATCTGTGCCGGTGCAATAAACTACCAGATACAGGGGGCCTCGCCTGGAAGGAGAACTGTGGCTCTAAGCGAGGGACCCTGCGGCCTTCCCTCTCCAATCCTGTGCAGAGCCAAAACAGAGGAGGCGGGGAAGAAGGTTTGGTGGAGGGGAGAGCATGGGGCCAGCCCCACCATTAAGCACCATTAAATCTCTCTCCAGGACTCTTCCATTCCCATGGGGAGGTCCAGTCGCAGATCTTCCACGTCATGTCAAGTCTGGCTCTTGGGCACCAAAATAAAGTCTTGGGTGCCCAAGCAAATGGTCAGAGGAATGGATGGATGGAGCAGGTGTCAGAACTGGGAAGACCCAGCTTGACATGAGTGGAGCTCATATGTTTCCTGTTCAGCAACCTGGCAGTTGAACAGACTTCAAGGAGCCCTCAAAAGCAGCTTCAGAACACATTGCAGTGGTCTAACATGGATAAGCATGGACAATTGTGCTCAGTTATCCTTGTCTATCCTGGCCCAGATGAGGGATAAAGGAAGAAGGCTCCTGATTTCATCTCTGTCTTGGGGCACGCGACACAAACGGGCCTGTCCGTCTCATGTTCAGCGCTGTCCCCTGTTCCCATGACACGACTCCAGGGATGGGGGGGGAGGAAGGGAACACCCCACTTTCAAAGTGGTGAAGCAGCTGCCTCTGAACTTTCCACAGTCATGCTTTGTGGGTGGAAATTTGGGTGCAACTCAGCTTGAAGAAACGGGGTTGCATGAGGTTAAAACCAGATAGAGCAAGAGGCCTCCAGATTCTCAGGCTACTCCTTTTTTTTTTTAAATGATATTTATTAAGAATTTAAAGATTACAAAGAAATAGAGAAAAAAAGAAGTAAAGAAAAGAACAAAAAAACAATAAAAAGACAAACAGCAATTAAACAATACAAATCGATTAAAATCAAAATCAAAAACAAAAAACAAAAAACATATCACATCAAAATCAAAAAACAAGAATAAACCACAAAAATTTAAAATTTAAAAACAGATCCAATATTCCCAAATTCTTAACTGTCATGACCTTATTTCATCGACCTCCTCAAACCTCCCTTTTTTGTATTCTAGTTGTTAATTATAACAGCAAATCCTTTCCATTTTTCATAATATCCTGTCATTAAATTACCTTAATCTATTTTGACCTATACAGTGGTGCCCCGCAAGACGAACGCCTCGCAAGACGGAAAACCCGCTAGACGAAAGGGTTTTCCGTTGCGGAGGCGCTTCGCAAAACGAATTTCCCTATGGGCTTCCTTCGCAAGACGAAAGCCCATAGGGAAATCTCCGGGACAGCAGGGAAGCGCAGCGCGTCTTCCCCACTGTCCTCGGACCTCCTCTGAAGGCTGGTGGTGGGGCGGAGAGACCTCCTCCCGCTGCCAGCCTTTGGAAGGATGCTCCGAAGCCTGGCAGGGGGGCAGAGAGACCTCCTCCCGCCGCCAGGCTTCGGAAGGATGCTCTGAAGCCTGGCGGGGGGAGGAGGTCTGTCCGCCCCTCCGCCAGGCTTCGGAAGGCTGCTCCGAAGCCTGGCGGGGGGGGAGGTCTGTCTGCCCCTCCGCCAGGCTTCGGAAGGCTGCTCCGCTGTCCCGGGGTTTTTTAAAATGCTGGGGG